CCTGACTGCTCTTTAGAAGGCCAGATCCTGAAGATGAAACTCAGGTACTTTGGCCACCTAATGAGAAGGAAGGACTCACTGGAGAAGAGCCTAATTCAGGGAAAGATTAAGGGCAAAAGAAGAATGGGACGACAGAGAATGAGGTCGCTTGATGGAGTCACTGAAGCAGTAGGCATGAGCTTAAATGGACTCCACAGGATGGTAGAGGATAGGAAGGCCTAGAGGAACATTGTCCATGAGGTCGCGATGGGTCAGACATGACTTCACAACCAACAACAACAATCTTTCAATTGCTTTCTGTTGCACAAGCAGAGAACCAACTTGATTTTTTACTATCAAAGGAGATAGTATGATTTTGGGATCGTGACACTATGCCCAAACCTATATGTGATTTAATAACCACATTGGCTGCGTTCTTATAACATGTTAAGCCAAAATTAGATAAGCCATAGAAAAATGTGTGGTACACTACAGTATATTCCTGAATTAAACCCAAAGTCATAATGAGCTCTCTTTAATTTTGGATTCATATGCTAGCTGGGATTTCTGCTAGTTGTAGCTCCAGCACACCTGGAGGGCATCACATGGGGGAAAGATGGTTTGTTTTGGCAACTAATCTTTAGGGTCTGAGGCAGAGATATTTTCTGTTGACATTTTAGCCAGAAATGGCCAGTATTGGAGCTGGTTTGGCATGTAAATAATGGATTCTGTAACTACTCTGTGATTTCACCACACAGCCACTAAATGCAGTGAAGCAAAAAAATCCCATGGTAGCAAGGAAGGTGGGATTTTCCTCCCATTTGTCAAACAAATACCTGTGAGCCCAAAATCTGGCTATGTAGTTCTATGGAATATAGTTAGGTAAAAGATCCCCTCGCACTCTGAAAGGCGGTGCTCATCTCAATTTCAAAGCCGAAGAGCCAGTGCTGTCTGAAGATGTCTCCGTGGTAATGTGGTCGGCATGACTAAACACCAAAGGCGCACAGAACACTGTTACTTTCCCACCAAAGATGGTTCTTATTTTTCTACTTGCATTTTTACATGCTTTCGAACTGCTAGGTTGGCAGAAGCTGGGACAACTAACGGGAGCTCACTCCATAACGCAGCGCTAGGAATTCAAACCGCCGAACTGTCGACCTGTCTGATCAACAAGCTCCGCATCTTAGCCACTGAGCCACCGCATCCCTCATGGAATATAGTTACTAACAGCATATTCTCCTCTACTATGGGAGAGGCGAACCTAAGCCATTTCTATTAAGAAAAAATATATATAAGAGAACTCAGTTCTATAACCAAAGAACTGACAAAAATACACACGGCAACCACCAAGAACTTGCTCACTCAAAAAGCACGAAGGTTATCTTTGCAGGGTAAATGACAAGTGACGCTACCAGCATTAGCCCAGGCACATAAGGGTTGCTTTTCACAAACCCTTTCTATCAGCCAGCATATCATTTAAAGCGTGGCATTCCACAACATGTGCCTAACAAAGAGGCCATTTAAGACCCAGCTCTCCCTGTGCTAATCTTCCAAAACTGAGAAGGGAGACATATCGCAGCACTATTCGGGTGTTTAACTTAACACTGGAAAGCTGCATCCAAGAGCCTAATGCAGTGCAGTCACAATCCAAGAGAAGGGCTTATTGCCACCTCTGCTGAGGAACAGAAGGCATTTTTTAAGCGGGATCAGATAAAGAACAGAATATGAACCCGCCATCTCCGTATATGAAAAAGTGAGATTAGCACCTGGACTGATAAAATAATAAGCAGAAAAGGATGGAGGGAGGCTTTATCTCAAGCAGAAAATGGGAAGGTCACAATGTGTGCATGCAGACAAGCTTCATTAAGTGCCCATTTCAGAATTATGAAACAAGCAAATTTGAAATGTACCCCTCCTATCCAGACCTACATTGTGTATGTGAGAGAGAGAGTGGGGGAGGGAGGGGGGAGGGAAGGAGGGAGAGCGCTACAACTCTACTTCCACACTTCAAACACTTAGGTTTGTTTAGATAAGCTGGTGAAACTCTACTTTGAACAACGATGTCTGAAAGCAGTGACAGCTCCTTCATAATGACAAGCTTATGGTACATTAAACTTTAAATGAGAGGCAAATTCCTGCATTAATTTTACCAAGGCATTCGCAAGCAGGAGAAGTAAAGCCATAACTGGAATAAGCAGACCAAGGCCAGACAGCGCCAACTTATCTCCCTATTCAATTAAAGATTTTTAAAATGTACTATTTATAGCAATAATACTACAGATGAGGAACTACATTGCTCGTCACCCTCAAAAGTTCAAAAGCACTGATGACTTAATACTTCCTCATTTAAAACTCAGTAAAGTATTTTCAGTGCATCTATATCCTCATGCTTACCTATTATTCATCCATCCATCCATCAATCCATCATCCATCCATCCCTTTTAGATAACTACAACATTGGCTCAAAACCAAATCAGAGCATTATTTGTTGGTTGATAGTGGACGAGAAAGTTCAAAACCACAGTTATCATAACCAAGAAACGAAGACTCGGCTTAAAATGATCTAATTTTTGCAAAGAACTGCTGACTTGAAGGACTAGTAAAAAAAAATATCCCTCCTTAAACACAGTCCCCTAAAACAGTTGTCCTAGGCACATCCACACATCCTCAGCTTTAGACGTATATTGTGTTCCTGTTAATTGAGTAATACATTAGACTCCCAAAGTCATGAAAATGCCCTTGGAAAAAGGAGCTTTTGGAAAATCTAGGAATGCAAGGGAATATTTTTCAAAACAGCATCCAAGTTAGCCTTCTATCATTAAAGCAGGGTTAGCTTTATGCTGCCAACGAACACCAGTGAATCTATAAACACTTTATTTGATATTTGCCAGGTGGTTCCTTACTCTGACTTTAATTTTTAATTGAAAATGGAAAATTGTCATGCTACAAAGGAAAGCATAACCTACAGCATCTTGTTTTCAAGGTTCCCCCAAAGGCCCAGTTGGCATTTTTAGAAAAACAAAATGAGGACGGAGAGAAATGGTTCAGTGTTACAATATATGTGGGAAAGTATTCACTTACCTACAAAAAACCCAAAAACAGAGATATGTTGCGTTGAAGTCCTATATATCCATGATGGCGAACCTGTAGCACACGAAGCCATGTTACCCGGCATGCACAGCCTTGCCTGTTTGTCTTCTGGGTTTCTTGTGTCCGTGCGCATGCCACAATTAGCTGTCCTTCACACGTGTGACAGTGCTGAAAACCAGTGTGCCCATGCACACCAGCCAGCTGATTGTCAGGTGTGCATGCATGCTACAACCCACAAGTTAGGCTTTTCTTGAGTACAATCCCTTCACATGTGCGGCATGTGCCAAAAGCTGGCACGTGCATGCGTGCCGGCCAGCTGATCATTGGGCGTGCATGCACGCTAGAACCCAGAAGTTCGGCTTTTCTGGCATGTGGCCCCGATATGTACACACATACACGATGTTTCTGCCAATCTTTTCAGCACTTGGTGCCAAAAAGATTCACCATCACTGCTATATAGCTAGAACTAGTTTTATAGTAAATGGATGTTGCATTACAGTCCTGTAACCATCTTGTGAATAAGTGTCCCAACAATAGATGTTATGGGACGAGACCTATGACATTCTCTCAAAATTCCAAATGTGCTCAGAAGAACAGAAATACAGTAAATAAATGATAACAACAGTAATAGCAATTATTAACAGTAGTACTATATGCTATTCATACCCGCAGCATTTTACCAAACCCTGAGGCTACCCTAAAAAGTTTACAAGATAAAAATTGATTCACAGGTATGGGAATGAAGAGAGTAGTGCCATAAAGATTTATGTATCTTTGGGTTTTGTGGTATGATTTATATTATAAAGCAGAAAATATTTGGATAACAGAAGATAGTAGACCTGATAAAGTAAAAGTCACAGGCGTAGATGTATCAGAAGAAGAAATATTTCCAGCTGACAACTATTACTCATTTCATTCCCATTGTTTTGAAGCAAAATAATCACATAAATATAAATTAATTCCTATGGAGACTTGGACAAAGGAAAAGGAAATAGAACAATTACCCAGTTTAAAGGCATTTAGAACAGTCATTTAATTATAGTATGAGTTTTCAGTATGTTTTGTTTCAGTCATGATTGTGAGCCTGTTTTTTTTTAAAAAAAAAATAAGTCAATCAATTTCTTTGTTTCTTTCTATTAATTGATCTCAATAATATAGCATAAAAGGCCCTTGGTTATTCTAATAGGTTATGTCAGGGAGAATCACAAACCACATATTGTAGTTTGAAATAATGTTGAGTGACTTATTTGAATCAGAGGCACAAAGAATAGTTTACACCAGCATCTACCCAGAAACACTTTCATAGGAGTCTAATTAAAATTTAACTGCCATTAAATTTTCAAACAAGCAACCAGTTGATAATGGTGATGAATTCCTGCAACTATAAATGTAACTATTTCTAATTTCACAAATATATTAATCTTTAATGTGGCACAAAATGTTTTGTTGCAAAAACATTCATAGTCACATATATTCGACTTTCTTAGATTATTTTAAAGAGATTGTTTTAAAATCTTTATCAGAGGTAAACTTTTGCAGACCTGAGTCCACTTTTTGAGATGGACAGTGTCTTCCTTAAGTTGATAGTATCACACTGTGAATTTTGTTTCCTCAAAAGTAATTTTAGCTTGGAAACCGAACAGTCATGATCTCGTCGTTCCTTTAAACTGCATTTTGAGAAAGTTTAACTCATAAATCCACTTACCAAGCAAGGAGAACCAACACTATCACCAGAAAAGTCAGTGTGGCTGTTGTAACATTAGTCTCAACCAAGTCAAGCCTCAAGCCATCTGTAAGTCCCATTGTCTTCTATTGGAGAAGCACGCTGGTCAAACAGGCAGAGAGAAAAAAGGATGTTTCATTAGTTAGGTAGTGACAGACTTCTAACCGTTAATACAAGTGACAAGCTACAGTAAAAGAGGAACCAAGGAAATTAAGTGTCACATCAACGTCACTCCAAAACCAAACACCAACTTTTCCTGTTCTTGCATCTTTACAGAGACAGGATTAAGGGTTTCCTGTATCAGTAGGCCAAGACAATGCTCTTCCAAAGATCTCTTCAACATTAACAACTACAACAGCAATAAATATTTACATAGTGGCTGCCTGATATTGCAGAGCTGGCATGTAGGGATGGATAAAGGATAAGCATGAACTAACCTGGTATAGATTTCAAAGCCCAGGGGGCAGTGGGTATAAAAAAAAAAATCAATGAGTTCTTCATCTCTGTTTAATAGAAAATATCTTACACAACATGAAGACTCTGGGCTTGCATTCTTGATTAATAGCAATACTGCTGGACAGACGGCTTTAGAAAAAAGCTATCCAAAGACTTACTCAATTTCTGAATGGGCCAAATCGCTCTTTGCAGACCTGTCAATATTTTTTTCCCCACCTGCATCTAAGTGGGACAGAAATATCCCTGGCCATATCTGGCTTCCACTGTGTCCTTGTGGCATTCCTTTCATCTCATTCTTAGACTAGGAAGACCAGCTTCAGTCATTGTTATCTGTATGGGTTTTAAAGCAGTATTTCCCCTCAAATAGCACCCATTAACAAGGTTTGTAAAATCTGTAACAGTTTCATCACTTTTTATCCAGGAGATAAAGTCAGATGATCAATAGTGGGAAGGAACAAAAGGATCCTTATTGGCTTTTCGTTTTTATTTTTTCCTTTCTTCCAGTCCATGATCTATCTCACCTGCTGCCATTCTGCTGTTGTCTCCTTAAAAAGCTAGATACAACAATGATGCACTGACGGTCTTTTAGGCCTATGCAATAGTGCTATGGTGAACATCTAGTAACACTAGATGATTTAGTGCTGTGATGGCGAATTGCACGTGTGCCATAGGTGGCACGCGGAGCCCTCTCTACGGGCCATCGTTCAGCTCAGCTCTACCGCGCATACACCCACGCCTCCTGCCAGCCAGCTGATTTTTGGGTCTCTTGTGGGAGACATGCACACATGGGGGGGGCAAGGGGTCATGCACACATGCACCAGGGATGCAGCGCAGGGCCCCAACCGCCCATTTATGGTCCCAGGAGGATTCAGGGAGGCCTGCTAGGCCCAAAACAGGCCGCTGAGGGGGTCGCACTCGCATGCAGGAGAGCGGGGGTTGCATGCGCAGGGGTGTGGCCTGCAGGGGGGTTTTGCACGCTCATTGCATTATGGGTGTGGGCACGCACGCACAAGCTGTCACACACAAATACAAAAACACAAAAGAGATAGCCATCACTGGTTTAGTGCAAGGTTGAAGCAGGGTATTCATGAAATGGGGGAACCAACCCAATTCCCCCTCCCTAACTGTTCCCAAATTAGAGTGTGGATGGAAACTGGAAGCCAGCATTTGTTGCTTATTTAAAGAAAGGAAAGAACCCTACTTAAAAATGCTGCTTCTGACTCAGCTTTCTCTGTGACTTTGGTCTTTTTTAATATATATTTTATATATTTATATATATATAATGTTGTATTTGTGCTGATAAATAAAGGGAGACTAGTATAGATCTATTTCAAGCTATTTAGCTCTCATCAGCTAGCCATACCCTTACTGGGATTAGAACCTATGCTGTATTACATCTTAGGCAGATGTGTATATATATATTCAGTTCAGTTTACAACAAAATAGGGCAGAGAAGGAAGAGGACAAGGAGCAGTTTGGAGACGATACCAGAGTCCTGCATCCAGGCATGCACTGTGCTGTTGCATCGCCTTGATTGGCAAATGTTTTTCCTGTCGGCCAGTGATGGGCAGAAGAGGGAGGATGTGAACTAATCACTTTGCTTATCACACGTTCACATGCCCAGGACAGCACCATTCAGCAGTGAGTGAGAACAAAGCAATTGAGGAAGAATAGTGATCAGCACTGGGGCAGCAAATGTCATAGCTTTCTGCTGACTCAAGGATAGACAGTACTTTAATGCAGTAGTGGAAAAATGATCTACATTAAAAATCACCTCTAAAAATGAAAAAAAAAATAGACCTTTGTGGAAATACC